GCGGAGAAGAGCAAACCACAGGCCACGGACTACAATGCAGCCTGAGCCCTGCCACAGGCACAATCGAGGTCCTTCTCATAGCGACACCCGAGGCACTCCAAGTAGCCAGAACATTTAGTATCATGCTAACTTTTTAACTTTGTGTGTGTGTGTTTTAAATATATATTACAACTGCATGCTCAGTGCGCTTCTGATACGATAAATAAATAAATGGCTAAGAGGTGCATCACAGAAAATGTGAGTGGTTTCGTAAGTTGTTGTTGACAAGCTGCAAGAGGTGGGTCAGCTTACAAGGCTCATTCGTTTTCTCTTCTGAGTCCCTTTTGTTCACCTGCGAAAGCAAGCTCTGTCCCAAGAGAAGAGAAGAGGAGGGAGCTTTGTTCGAAAAGGACGGGGAGGAGACAGTCCAAGGGAGCCGGGTTTCAGGCAGGAATGCGGCCGGTTGGCTGCCCGGCGTGAAGAGCCTTGGCAGAGAGGGGCAAACTGAGGGCGGAGGCAAGGAAGGCCTCCAGCCATGGGAAGACTCGGAAAGAGACACCTTTTCTCCGGCCGAGAAGGACCTGCAGAAGGATGAGAGAGGGAGCACACACCCAGGGTTGCTGACAGCCAAGCACTCCAAGCCATGACTCTCGTACTGCCCCCCAAAAGTAAGCAGACAGCATCTCTGTGCCATGTGTCCTTTGGAAAGCACTTGACCTTTCACCTTTCGATCCTGTGGCTACCCTCTTTCCAGGTGGCCCAATGCCTATCCCTTGCTATTGGGATTCCTAGAGCCATCTCTTTGTGGCTGCCTCCAAAAGCCACTTGCTGGACTGGGTGGATATTGGGCCTAATGATCCAGCACGGATGGATTAAGGCAGCGTTTCTCAACCTTAAAGTCTGGGGGGGGGGGTTGCAAGGGGGTGTCGAAGGGTTCGCCAAAGAACACCAGAAAACACAGTACTTTCTGTTGCTCATGTTAGTTCTGTGTGTCAAGTTTGGTTCAAGTCCATCATTGGAGGGGTTCAGGATGCTCTTTGATTGTAGGTGAACTATAAATCCCAGCAACTACAACTCCCAAATGTTAAGATTTATTATTATTGACACAAAAGCATAGTATGTCACAGCAGACGAGATCTCAATGCTGGATTTCGTATCACAAAATCACAAGTCGAACCCTTCCCAAGTGTATTTCCGAATATCCAAGTCAGGCGGCCTTTTGCAGTTGACAGATCGTGATTTTGTCAATTTTTATTGTTTCCAAATGCCGGCTGAGATCTTTTGACACGGCACCCAGTGCGCCCATTATTACCACAGGGACCACCTGGACTGGTTGATGCCAGAGCCTTTGCACTTCGGTTTTGAGGTCTTGATAGTGGCTGAGTTTTTCCTGTTGTTTTTCCCCAATGCGACTGTCACCTGGAATGGCAACATCAATAATCCAGACTTTTTTCTTTTCCACAATCATGATGTCTGGTGTGTTGTGTTCCAAGACTTTGTCAGTCTGGATTCGAAAGTTCCACCATATTTTTGCGTGTTCATTTTCCACAACCTTTGCAGGTTTATGATCCCACCATTTTTTTTACTGCTGGCAGGTGGTCCTTGTGACATAAGTTCCAGTGAATCATCTGGGCCACAGAGTTGTGCCTCTGTTTGTAATCCGTCTGTGCGATTTTCTTGCAACAGCTGAGGAAATGGTCCATGGTTTCATCCGCTTCCTTGCACAGTCTGCATTTTGGGTCATCTGCTGATTTTTCGATCCTGGCCTTAATAGCCTTTGTCATGATGGCTTTCTCCTGGGCTGCAAGAATCAGGCCTTCTTCTGTCTCCTTCTTCAGGGTTCCATTCATTAGCCATAACCCGGTCTTCTTGTCAACTTTTCCTTCAATCTTATCAAGGAACTGCCCATGCAATGCTTTGTTGTGCCAGCTGTCAGCTCTGGTTTGGAGTGCAGTTTTCTTGTACTGACTCTTTGTCTGCTGTGCTTTGAGAAGTTTCCGATTATTGACTTCAATTAAAGCAGGTTCTTGGCTTTCCTTGATATATTCTGCCAGGGCATGTTTTTCTTCTTCGACTGCTTGTTTGAGTTGTAAGAGTCCTTATTATTATTATTATTGTTATTATTATTGTTATTATTATTATTAGGCTGGCACCCTCCTTAGCCACATTCCGTAAGGAATTAAAGACGTGGATGTTTCATTGTGCTATCAATTGACGACTCCTATGGCAAATGGCCTGTATCATGACTTGAATTGTCATTCAATCTGATGTCCTATATTATATTAACTGATCCTGTTAATTTACTCTGTTTCCATGATATTTCCTATGCTGTTATACATTGTTATCCACCTTAGTTAGCCTCTTTTGGCTTTAACCAGTTCACATAGTGGTTTTCCTCCCCCCTTCCAAAATTAGTCTGCTGTTATTGTTGTTGCTAGCTATTATTGTTATGTTGTTTTATGCTGTTTTTATGCTGTCTTAATTGTTTTTGCTTTGTTTTTAATTGTATTCTGCCTGGGCTTGGGCCCCATGTAAGCTGCCCCAAATCCCTTCGGGGAGATGGGTGCGGGGTAGAAAAATAAAGTTATTATTATTATTATTATTATTATTATTATTATTATTATTACCCTACAAGACTTAAAGAGGCTTACAAAACAATCAAAACCCAAATAATATAAAATATTTACATATTGATGTTAATAGAACTAAGTAGTTCAAATCCTTAGAACTCAGAGAAAACTGAGCGGCTGGATTCCTCTTTAGCATTAGGTTGATTTGAGGTGACTTCTGGGAGCCAGCCATTGTGACTGCTTTCGAGACTGCAAGGGGAAGATCCAATTTTCTTCTCTTTGGGACACGGTTCCTCTTGGCCTTTGCACAAAAGGGGGCAATGATTAACGCCGGGCAACGCTAACCTGCATCCAGGACACGGCTGTGAATTTCCAGGAAGACGGAAAGAGAGATTATGTGGCGTCGAGGTCTTGTGGGCTGCCCTCCAGCAAGACTGCACACCTTCCGTGTTGTTCTGCTCTGTCCTTGAGAAGGGTTCGCACCTTTACCTGAATGCACAGGTGTCCCTGGCTATTAGTAGAGCTTGAAAGTTAATCTTTAAATTAATTTGTGTTTATTACTTTTTGTCATGTGCCTTCGAGTAGTTTTCAACCTTTGATGACCCTGTCACAGAGTGAAGAGAAAAGGGGAAGGAGCAGAGGGAAACCGGGACCTTTTAAAAGCAGCTGAAAACTTACTACTTACTTAGGCGATCCTTGCTTCTCCGAGTATGATGGCCTTCAAAGTGTAGTGTCTTGGCGGCAGATACACAGGTGACTGTGGAGCAGCCAGTGTGAGCAGCCGGGGGACCCAGCGAGCGGAGACCTTCTGCAGGTGAACGTGGTCTTGGGTGATTTTCTCCATGGACCCCACACTCATCTTGACATTTTGGGCTAGTTGTTGAATGGTTACGCAGCACTTTTCCAAATTGGTGACCTCCACTTGCTGGATGCTGTGTTCATCAATCGCAGAGTGGGGTCACCTTGGAATTGGAGCTGTTTCCACGGAAGTCTGACCACATTGGAATGGACGATGCCAGTTCTTGACTCTGTCCTATAATGGGGAATCATCACCATCAAATGCTTTTATCTCATTGATCATTTCCTTTTGTGTGCGGCTGTAACATATTGGCGTAAAAGGGAGAAAACAGGCCCAGCTTGAAAAAGCTCAGAAGAAAGGTGGGCAGCCTCTTAGCCAGAAGTGCAGTCTGATTGGCTAATGAAATTGGACTCTTTGTGGCTTAAAGATACCTCTTTGAGGATAATAGTTAATAAGCCTCTATGGTGATTAGAGTGCTGTGCAGGAAGGGAGTTTTTAAAAGGATTTTAAAAAGATCCTGTTTGGATTTGTGCGTGTGGAACTTTGTTTTAAGAAACTCAAGATGAAAGTACCATTCTCTGTAAGAAATAAATCCCAACAAGTTATTTGAAACCCCTACGCATATTGACTGTTCAAAATAAACAACATCTTCCTGTATTGTCGAAGGCTTTCATGGCTGGAATCACTGGGTTGTTGTAGGTTTTTTGGGCAATATGGCCATGTTCTAGAAGCATTCTCTCCTGACGTTTCACCTGCATCTATGGCAAGCATCTTCACAACCTCTGAGGATGCTTACCATAGATGCAGGTGAAACGTCAGGAGAGAATGCTTCTAGAACATGGCCATATAGCCCGAAAAACCTACAACAACCCAACATATTCCTGTTTTATTCCAACTGAAATCTTTGTGTGTCTCTTAGAATCATAGAATCAAAGAGTTGGAAGAGACCTCATGGGCCAGCCAGTCCAACCCCCTGCCAAGAAGCAGGAATATTGCATTCAAATCACCCCTAACAGATGGCCATCCAGCCTCTGTTTAAAAGCTTCCAAAGAAGGAGCCTCCACCACACACCGGGGCAGAGAGTTCCACTGCTGAACGGCTCTCACAGTCAGGAAGTTCTTCCTCATGTTCAGATGGAATCTCCTTTCTTGTAGTTTGAAGCCATTATTTCGTGTCCTAGTCTCCAGGGAAGCAGAAAACAAGCTTGCACCCTCCTCCCTGTGGCCGCCTTTCACATATTTAAACATGGCTATCATATCTACTCTCAGCCTTCTCTTCTTCAGGCTAAACATGCCCAGCTCCTTAAGTCGCTCCTCATAGGGCTTGTTGTCCAGACCCTTGATCATTTTAGTCGCCTTCCTCTGGACACATTCCAGCTTGTCAATATCTCTCTTGAATTGTGGTGCCCAGAATTGGACACAATATTCCAGGTGTGGTCTAACCAAAGCAGAATAGAGGGGGAACATTACTTCCCTAGATCGTGTCCCTCACGGCCCCGCCTGGCCATACCTTTTGTTCCTAGTAGTTGTTGAGTTAATATAGGAAAGGAAGTTGAGGAGTGCTCTGTATTCCACTGAGTCCATTATCAAACCTCACACCACTACAGCATGTGTAAAATCAAGACCGTTATTAGTTCTGAGTTGTAAATTGGCACGCAAGCCATAGAAACTTATATCAGGACACATGTGCAGTTTCAAAGTCCTATGATAAATAGAAGTGGGTCAGGGGAAATCTTTATTGAATGATCCCCGCAAAAGCATTAGTATGCAATTTGACCAGGGAGGCAGTCCTTTATTTCCCTGGATGAAGCACAGCTGTATTACGTGTCAAACTAGGGTGTGGGTTCCCTTTCCAAATGGGTGGCTCCCAAGAATCAAGGTGCAAAAGCCCCTTCCATATGTGCATTGCTATCTCCCTCCGCCCCAGCAAAAAGTGGAAGAGCCTGAAGCGTAGAAGCCCACCGCTTTCTCATACTTTCCGTCTCCGAAAAGGCACAGTTGAACTTCACGGCTGTCTTGCCGCATCCATCGCCTTCTTCCCCTCTTGACGCAAGTGCCGCGGACCAGAGGGCATCTCCTGCCTGGTATCTATTTATACAGCAAAGGTGCTGCCCGTCCTTGTGGCAAACACGGCCTCCCGATGAGAACTCTGCAAGGCGGAGGCGTTTATGCCTGGCCGACCTTGCCACCCGCATTGGGGGCTGCGAGGAAGAGAGGGGACACAAAGGGGAGGTCATGCGGATGAGAAGAGGAACTCCGGCGGTGATGTCTTCGGAGCGCATTGGGGACACTGCTGCCTGGTCACATTATTTAAAGAGAGCGGCGTTGGTTTGCACACTCTAGAGAAACTGGGTCTGGAACAGCTTGGGAACCGTCCCCTGCATCTCCATCCAAGGGGTCAACCAAAGTCCAAGTCCTGCTCTGCAAACTGAATCAAGAAGCCCTGAGTCTGCAAGAGCTCCGCAAACGGTGACTTGGAGGCCTCTCATTCATTCAGTCTCCAGGTGAAGGCACTTAACAACAAGAAGATCTTCTCCGAGACCCTCTTTACTTGATCTCCTCTCTAAGGAGTCCAAATTGAGTGTGAAAAGGACTTCTCCTCATCCAGACATCTCCAAAGTCGGAGAAGCAGCAACGGCGGATGGCCTTCTTCAAGGACCGCGTTTACCCGGCACTGGCCTTCTGTCAGTCTGTCTGCCTCTTCTTCTTCAAGGGGATGATAGAAGGCCTGATGGTCCTGCTCTTCCTCTGGTTGCTCGTCCAGGTCTTGCTGGACAAGCATCAGCGAGGTTGGTTCCTTCTTCTTCTTTTTTGGTTTTGTTGCTTGGCTTCCATGTCCATGACGGCTGCTTTTGTGCTTTGGTTTGGTTAGTTTCTAGTATCAGATTACTGTTATGACTTATCGTGACCCTAAGACAGGGGTTCTCAACCTTTCTAATGCTGTGACCCCTTTATACAGTTACTCATGTTGTGGTGACCCCCAATCATAACATTATTTTCGTTGCTATCTCATAACTGTCATTTTGCCACTGTTGTGAATTGTAATGTCAACATCTGATATGTAGGATGGATTTTCATTCACTAGACCAAATTTGGCACAAATATCCTAAATGCCCAAATTTGAATACTGGTGGGGTTGGGGAGGGGGATTGATTTTGTCATTTGGGAGTTGTAGTTGCTGGGATTTAGAGTACACCTACAGTCAAAGAGCATTCTGAACTCCACCAACGATGGAATTGAACCAAACTTGGCACACAGAACTCCCATGGCCAATATGCGCAAATGTGAACACTGATTTGTCATTTGGGAATTATGATTTTGTCGTTTGGGAGTTGTAGTTGCTCGGATTTATAGTTCACCTACAATCAAAGAGCATTCTGAATTCCACCAACGATAGAATTGGACCAAACTTGGCACACAGACCAACAGAAATACTGGAAGGGTTTGGTGGGCCTTGATCTTGAGTTTTGGAGTTGTAGTCCACTAGGACATGGAACACTGGCTTCAAACTACAAGAGAGGAGATTCCATCTGAACACGAGGAAGAACTTCCTGACTGTGAGAGCCGTTCAGCAGTGGAACTCTCTGCCCCGGAGTGTGGTGGAGGCTCCTTCTTTGTTAGTTTTTAAACAGAGGCTGGATGGCCATCTGTCAGGGGTGATTTGAATGCAATATTCCTACTTCTTGGCAGGGGGTTGGACTGGATGGTCCATGAGGTCTCTTCCAACTCTTTGATTCTATGATTCTATAATCAGCGAGCCCCGTGGACTCAAACAATGATGGATCTGGACCAAACTTGGTTCCTAAGATAATCAGAAATATATGTTTCTGGTGCTCTTTGGTGACCCCTCTAACACCCCCCTTGTGATCCCCCCCCCCAGGGGTCCCGACTCCCAGGTTGAGAAACACTACAGTAGGCTGTTAGGAATTGTGGGAGTTGAAGTCCATGCCTGATACATACCCGACTGCATCAATAGGACTTTGGCCATGCTATTAATCAAAGGGAAGAAGCTGGTATTTAAATGTTTACAGATGACAGCGTGCTAATAATGGCAATACGCAATTTTCCACCCATACATCTTCACGAAACACTGATGACTATGGCTGGATCTACATTGGCAGATCAGTGCACTTAAATTGCATTATACAGCAGTGTAGACCCAGCCTGTAGCTGTGTAAGTGCATAACTATAAAGGGGCTGCACACCAGCAAAGGATGAAACAACTTGTTTTGACCGTGTGGATGGACAAGCCCAATTGGATTCCATCTCCTCCGAGTTTTGAGAGCGAGGCACAGATCTGGCGCCTTTCCTCGAGGTGCTTGGCTCGGCCGCGGCCCTTTGCTTCTCGTTGCCTTGCGTCAGTGCTGATAAGCCAAGTCTTTTTCCATGGGCTTTATCGGCTTTGAGGTGAGGCCGGGTTTATTTTAGCCTCTGAGCAAACTTGTGCAGCTGCACCTCAAGAACGGGGCAAAAATACCCTGAGAAGCCCTTGAATTACCCGTTGGGTTGCTCTCTACTTTTGGTTTAAAACCCTCCTCCTCCTAGGCACATCCTCAGTTCCATGTCCAGCATTTATTTTTAAAGTTTAAACTATTACACCTGGCCCAGCCGTAGGTTTTAATTCTTGTGTGTTATTGTGTACCTGTGAGTTATATTAACTGTATTGTTTATTTTTGTTTATTGCTTGTCGTTTTTATAATTGCTTGTTGTTTTTGATGCAAAGATACAGAATGGGGGACAATGCCGGGCTCGAGAGCAGTACGTGTGAAAAAGATCTTGGAGTCCTCGTGGACAACAAGTTAAACATGAGCCAACAATGTGATGTGGCGGCAAAAAATCATATGATTCTATGATTCTATGATTCTATGTGTTGTTGGGCTTGGCCTCATGTAAGCCGCTCTGAGTCACTTGGGGAGATGGTGGCGGGGTTTTTGGCCTGCATCAATGGGATTTTGGCCTGCATCAATAGGAGCATAGTGTCTAGATCCAGGGAAGTAATGCTACCCCTCTGTTCTGTTTTGGTTAGACCACACCTGGAATATTGTGTCCAATTCTGGGCACCACAATTCAAGAGAGATATTGGCAAGCTGGAATGTGTCCAGGGAGAGCGACTAAAATGATAAAAGGTCTGGAGAACAAGCCCTATGAGGAGCGGCTTAAGGAGCTGGGCATGTTTAGCCTGAAGAAGAGAAGGCTGAGAGGAGATATGATAGCCATGTATAAATATGTGAGAGGAAGCCACAGGGAGGAGGGAGAAAGCTTGTTTTCTGCTTCCCTGGAGACTAGGACGCGGAACAATGGCTTCAAACTACAAGAAAGGAGATTCCATCTGAACATGAGGAAGAACTTCCTGACTGTGAGAGCCGTTCAGCAGTGGAACTCTCTGCCCCGGAGTGTGGTGGAGGCTCCTTCTTTGGAAGCTTTTAAACAGATGCTGGATGGCCATCTGTCAGGGGTGATTTGAATGCAATATTCCTGCTTCTTGGCAGGGGGTTGGACTGGATGGCCCATGAGGTCTCTTCCAACTCTTTGATTCTATGATTCTATGATTCTATTGTTGTTGTTGTGTTTGGCCTCTCTGAGTCACTTGGGGAGATGGTGGCGGGGTATAAACAATGTATTATTATTACCGTATATACTCGAGTATAAGCCGACCCGAATATAAGCCGAGGCACCTAATTTTACCACAAAAAAAACGTATTGACTTGAGTATAAACCGAAAGTGGGAAATGCAGCCGATACTGGTCAGTTTCAAAATAAGAATAGATACCCATAAAATTACTCTGTGTATGAGATTTATTTTAATTGCTTTGTATTGTTGTTGTTATTGCTTGTATTGTTGTATTGTCTTCTCAGCCTCATGTAAGCCGCACCAAGTCCCTTGGGGAGATGGTAGCGGGGTAAAAAAAAGTATTATTATTATTGTTATTATTATTATTAAATTACATAAATTGAGGCATCGGGGTGAAATGTTTTTGAATGTTTACATAAAACTGTAATTTAAAACAAGACTGTCCAACTCTCATCAAACCATTATTCTAACCTTCTTCAATGTAAATGTGCTTGCATATCCTTCCAATAATAATAATAGAGTAAAATAATGGAAATGTAATAATAACAGGGGTTTTTTTTTTGGTTGTATCAGGAGTGACTTGAGAAACTGCAAGTTGCTTCTGTTGTGAGAGAATTGGCCGTCTGCAAGGACGTTGCCCAGGGGACGCCGATGATTTGATGTTTTTATCATCCTTGTGGGAGGCTTCTCTCATGTCCCCGTATGAGGAGCTGGAGCTGATAGAGGGAGCTCATCCGCCTCTCCCCGGATTTGAACCTGCGACCTGTCGGTCTTCAACCTGCCGGCACAGGGGTTTAACCCACTACGCCACCGAGGGCTCCATAATAACAGTAATAATAAACAAACTAATAAATGTAATAATAGTAATAAATAGAGTAATAATAATAATTACAATAATAAATAGAGTAAAATAAATGTCATAAAATAGTAATGATAACAGAGTAATATTTATAATAATAACAATAATAAATAGAGTAAACTAATACATGTAATAATAGTAATAAATAGAGTAAAATAAATGTCATAAAATAGTAATAACAGAGTAATATTTATAATAATAATAATAAATAGAGTAAACTAATAAATGTAATAATATTAATAAATAGAGTAAAATAAATGTAATAAGATAGTAATAATAACAGAGTAATATTTATAATAATAGAGTAAACTAATAAATGTAATAATATTAATAGAGTGAAATAAAAGTCATAAAATAGTAATGATAACAGTAATATTTATAATAATAACAATAATAAATAGAGTAAACTAATACATGTAATAATAGTAATAAATAGAGTAAAATAAATATAATAAAATAGTAATAACAGAGTAATATTTAGATTAATAACTAACAAATAGAGTAAACTAATAAATGTAATAATAGTAATAAATAGAGTAAAATAAATGTAATAAGATAGTAATAATAACAGAGTAATATTTATAATAATAATAATAAATAGAGTAAACTAATAAATGTAATAATATTAATAGAGTAAAATAAGTGTAATAAAATTGTAATGATAACAGAGTAATATTTATAAAAATAACAATACTAAATAGAGTAAACTATTGTAATAATAGTAATAAATAGAGTAAAATAAATGTAATAAAATAGTAATAACAGAGTAATATTTAGAATAATAACAATAATAAATAGAGTAAAATAAATGTAATAATAATAATAATAATGTAAAATACTAAATAAGTTTGACTCGAGTCTAAGCCGAGGGGGAGGGCTTTTTCAGCCTTGAAAAAAGGGCCGAAAAACTTGGCTTATACTCGAGTATATACGGTAAATTGTGGTGATCGAAACAAACATAAAAGCGTAATAACTTTAAGACTGAGGCAGCCTTAGGTTCACCTTCCAACTCATGTATACATTTCTGAAAGGGTGTCACAAGGAAGAGGGAGCTGCCCTGGAGATGAGGACTCAGAGCAATGGGTTCAAATTACACTGTTCAACGGAGAAAAAGTTTCGGGCCTCAAAATAGTTGTTCTTTTATGATTTTGGGGTGCTGAAAATGAAAATGACATTTAAAAATGTATATTGGCTCTAGTTTTTATGATATAAGCAATCACGTGATCACGTATGGTTGAAATAATGCATGTTGCGACTTACACTATGGAAGATTCTAGAATATTCTAGAAAGTTTGATGACGCAGTATTAGTGCCATGTGCAAAAGCCAGAAGCCCAGACTTTTGAGTGGTGGGGGTCAGTCAGTTGAAGACTGAGACAGTATCGTTAAACATCGTTTTACATTGTTCTTTTTACTGTAGTGATGCCTCGCACGTGTGTAAATAAAGCACTATGGAAAAAAGAGATCAAGGCCAATGGACTCCGTCAATGCTGTCAGACTCCTGCTGGAGCATTGTAAGAGGGAATCCTTTCCTTGAATACAAAAGAAAAGTCAAGAGAAGCAAACAGGATAAAAACTAAAGTCATGATTAAAGTAACATTTAAACTTTCAGACTTTTCAACTGCATTAGGCCTACTAATATAGTTTCTTGCTGCATAAACAATAGACTAATTAAATAAATATTTCTCATGTATAAACTATTGGCAATATAATTTGACTAAAATTTAGTAAATATTCACGGTTTATATACATGCAGTAAGGTTAGGCGCATTATCATAATATTAACGAATTACCTATTGTGGAGAAAATTGAAATAGCTGTTGCATAAAAACCATTAACACATTTAATTATTATATTTGAATTCAGCATGTTACATTTATTAAGAAACGGCACATTTCGTTTCCGTAACTGAGAAAAACTGAAAATTTGTAGAACAGTGTTACAGGAAAGGAGATTCCACTTGAACATTAGGAAGAATTGTGAGAGCTGTTCAGCAGTGGAACTCTCTGCCTTGGAGTGTGGTGGAAGCTCCTTCCTTGGAGGCTTTTCAACAGAGGCTGGTTGGCCATTTGCCAGGGGTACTCTGATTGTGCTTTCCCTGCATGGCCAGAAGGGGGTTGGACTCGATGGCCCACGTGGTCTTTGATGCTGTGGCTCCTTGGTTCTCACGCGCGTCGTCTCCTCTCTCGGCAGTGCATTTGCAGGCGTTCCTGGGCGTGGGGCTGGCCCTGCTGTGCTTCTGCCTCCTCCTCGGGTGTGCCATCTGCTGGCACCAACGCAAGAAGAGCCGCTCCGATGACGCCAAAGCGCAAGTGGCGGATCGAACCGTGATGGACTTGGGCATGGTTTCGCCTTCCCGGACGATAACACCGGTGGCCATCCAGCAACAGTATGTCGAGATCGAAGGAGAGGTTTTGGAGTCCCCGAGTCCCACCGCAGTCATGGATTCTCCAGGGTCCTCTGGCCCAGAAAGCCCACCCCGGAGCCTCTGCCACGGCCGAGCATCCCTCCCCAGCATCCCCATCTCTCAGAAGCTGGGCTTGCCGGCGAAGTTACCGCGGGGACGGGAGCGCCGGTGCACCATCTCCGGAGAGAGCGTCTTTGGGGACCGGAGCAGCCTCATCTCCCGGCCCACCTTGGGCACCAGCCTCCCTCAGTCTTACACCGTCCCAAGAGGCCTCTCTGGGGCCACCACCACAAAGCCTCGGCCGCACCTTCACTTCACTTTGTTCTACTCGGAAGCGGAGGCCCTGCTGACCGTGACGGTGGTCGGCGTCTCTCGCTTGCCCAAGGGTCTCCGGTCGAGCCGCAATTCCTACGTCAAAGTCTACCTCCTTCCAAAGTTCGTGGAGCCCCAGCGTACCTCCTTGTGCAAGAGAAGCCTGAACCCGGAGTTTCACGAGCAGTTCCAGTTTGGCCGCTACGGCCTGGAAGAGCTGCAGAGCCTGACGCTGCGTTTCACCGTCTATGCCAAGGAGTTTCACAACCTTAAGGACTCCTTCCTGGGTGAAGTCATGTTCCCATGCTCCCAAGCCACCTGGAACCCAAGAGTGCCCTCGGTCTACACTCAGGAGCTGTCCACCACCAAAACCAAGCTCAGAAAGGTGAGGGCGCCTTGCAGCCGATGCCATTCACTTTTGTAACCTGCTCCAATCTATGAGGATGCCCTTGCACTCCGCATCTATGGCAGGCATGCCCACAACCTCTGAGGATAGATGTGGGGTGCAAGGGCATCCATTCCATACTGTAAATGCACCAAGAGAAAGGTATGGACCTTGGAAAACTAGGACTCCCAGGGCTGCACAGCATAGAGACATGGCATAATCTATATAAATAAAAATGTAATGTCCGTTTGTGGGATTAACACCACTCAGAAACCACTGGGCAAATTGACACCAAATTTGGACACAATACACCTATCAGGCTAATGAGTGACCATCACTCATTGAGACTCACAAACACACACAAAACTCCAGAGGAACAGACTTAAAACCTCCCAAAATACACAATATATACATACACTCATATACATATACACATGCACACATTCATACACACACACACACACATATGCACAAGTAAAGGTAAAGGTTGTCCCCTGACATGAAGTCCAGTCATGTGGTGTGGTGCTCATCTCCATTTGTAAGCCGAAGAGTCGGCGTTGTCCATAGACATCTCCAAGGTCATGTGGCCAGCATGACTGCATGGAGCACCGTTACCTTCCCGCCGGAGCAGTACCTATTGATCTACTCACATTTGCATGTTTTCGAACTGCTAGGTTGGCAGAAGCTAGGGCTGATGACGGAATCTCACGTCGCTCCCCGGAATTGAACCTGCAACCTTTCAGTCAACTAGCTCAGCAGCGCTTTAACCCACTGCGCCACCGGGGGCTCCCAATATATATGCACAAATACACACAAATATACACACACATACATATACACGCACACATACATATATACATATAGACATGCACACACATACATACACACATATACACACAAATATGCATATAGACAAGCACACACATATACACAATATGCATGTACACATATAAATGCACAAATACACTATATATACCCATATATATATATATATATATATATATATATCAACCAGACAGGGAGCCCCCAGGGGCGCAGTGGGTTAAAGCACTGAGCTGCTGAGCTTGTTGATCGAAAGGTTGCAGGTTCGATTCCGGGGAGCGGCGTGAGCTTCCGCTGTCAGCCCTAGCTTCTGCCAACCTAGCAGTTCGAAAACATGCAAATGTGAGTAGATCAATAGGTACCGCTCCGGTGGGAAGGTAACGGCGCTCCATGCAGTCATGCCGCACATGACCTTGGAGGTGTCTATGGACAACGCCGGCTCTTCGGCTTAGAAATGGAGATGAGCACCACACCCCAGAGTCAGACATGACTGGACTTAATGTCAGGGGACACCCTTTACCTTTACCTATATATATATATATATATATACACACACACACACACACACACACACACACACACACACACACAAACAAAAAATATATACACAAATATATACACACACAAAACACATATACACAGACTGGGCCACAGCAACGCGTGGCAGGGGACAGCTAATAATAATAATAATAATAATAATAATAATAATAATAATAATAATAATAATAATGGCATTAAAAGTAAAAATCCGGTGAGCAAAAGGAAATGGGGGAAATTTCCCTAACCGGAGTAATTTCGGTTCCTCCCACAATTTCCCCTCCTACAAATTGTGGAAACGTTTCATTTTAAACCTGGGAGCAACTAATGCCAACACATTGCAGAAATAGCCAATCATCTGGATCATTTCAAAAATTCCAGCTCTTGAAACGTTTGGCGCCCACGCTTAAAGTACGCAAAGAAATGCTCGAGGCTACACTTGAAGCCAAACTAATGTGATGAGGAGAGTGGCTTCCTGGATTTTAAGTGTAGTGTTCAGTGGAATTTAGTCAATGTGATGATACTTATGGCAAACTTATCATGGGAGTTTCAGAAGGGCTTTGCTTTCGCCCATGTCTATTTATTTATTTATTGACAGTATTTATATTCCGCCCTTCTCACCGCGCAGGGGACTCAGGGCGGATTACAATGCACATATACATGGCAAACATTAAATCCCATAGACATACAACATATAAACAGACACAGAGGCAATTTAACATTCCAGCTTTTTCCGCCTTCAGGAGGGTATGCTCGATTCTGGCCACAAGGGGAGCTGGCCCTTCACTGTCCACTTGTGACACTGAGTCCTTGACGGAGTACTTCCTCATTCTTACACACACAGCTGGAAGGTTTTTATCGTGTCGTAAATTAGTTAAAGTAGCCTCCCTGAGTACCTAAATGTCCTACTTGACAGATGCAACAGTCTTTCAGGCTGCATAGGTCAACAGCAAGCTAGACTATTAATAGTCGGGAGCTCACTCCGACCCGGACTGGCTTCGAACTCATGCCCTCTCGGTCAGTAGTGATTTAATGCAGCTGGCTACTGCGCCACAGCCCAGTCCTGAGGCTGAGAGAGTATGACTTGCCCACGGTCATCCATGGCCAAACAGAGATCTGAATCTGGTCTTCCAGCCTTGTAGTTCAACCATGACACGTCACTCAGGCTCTTCTTTGTATCTATCACAAGTATATCCACAAACGGCTATGTAATTTTCCTCCTCCCCTATTTCAGTCTCTCAGTTCTCAGGACATCAGCTCCAGTCCATCGTTCTGCCAGCCCAAGTCCATGGGTCAGCTCTTTCTCCTGCTTCAGTACCAAGCTCTGGCCAACCGGATCAAAGTGCTGGTCCGCAAAGCGGAGAACCTGGGCCGGCTCACGCGCATCCCTGGCACACCAGGTACGTTTCCCTTGGGCAGCCTGGCAGGGTGTGTAACACGGAGAGAAACAAAACAGGAGAGTGCTCACTGTGATTGTGATTTATCTATTACTGTATTTTGCATTATTTTGTTGTATTCTTATGTTTTATTTATTTTATTGTGATGTTTATTTTGTGTTGTGGTTTTATTTTATTGTAATGCACTTCCGGGCTTGGCCTCATGTAAGCTGCCCCGCGTCCCCTTTGGGGAGATGGTGCCGGGGTATAAATAAAGATTTATTAATATTATTATTATTATTATTATTATTATTATTATTATTATTATTAAGCTCCCCTAAATAAGAATCCTGGTAGTGTTAGGCCACACCAGTTCTGAGATCAACACAAATGCATAATCAACTTATGGTCATCATGGGGTTTCCTTGGAATCTTGGAAGTGGAGCAGGGTCAACCCAGGTTGGCACTTGGATGGAACAGCAGTTGCTGTAAATTCGCATGAGCAAAACCACCTCTGATAATCCCTTGCCTGAGAAAACCCTGTTCATAGCAAGTTCATAGGTTTAAGCCAATTCGGAGCATTCTTAAGCTACTTCTGAGTTTAAGACACTTCTGAGAGCTCTTAAGCCAGCTCTGAGCACCCTTAAGACAGCTCCAAGCACTTTTAAGCCACTTCCGAGCACTCTTGAACTACTTCAAAACAATCTTAAGCCACTTCTAAGATTAATCCAGTTCTGAGTGCTCTTAAGCCAGTTCCGAACGTGTTTGAGCCACTTCCAGTGGCTCTTAAACCAGTTTCAAGCTTACGCCACTCCAAATGCCCTAAAGCCATTTCTGAGTGTCCTTAGGCCAGCTCCTAGTGCCCTTAAGCCACTTGTGAATGCTCATAAGCCATTTCTGAGCTCTCTTTAAACCATCCCAAATGTGCTTAAGCCACTTCCAACTGCTCCCAAGCCAGTTTGTTGTTGTTTTAAAGCCAATTCAGAGCATTCTTAAGCTACTCCTGAGTTTAAGCCACTTCAGAGAGCTCTTGAGCCAGCTCTGAGCATCCTTAAGACACCTGCAAGTGCTCTTAAGCCCGTTCCGAGCACTCTTGAACTACTTCAAAGCAGTCTTAAGCCACTTCTAAGATTAATCCAGTTCTGAGTGCTCTTAAGCCAGTTCTGAATGTGCTTGAGCCACTTCCAGTTGCTCTTAAATCAGTTTCAAGCTTATGCCATTCTGAACGCCCTAAAGCTATTTCTGAGTGTCCTTAGGCCAGCTCCTAGTGCCCTTAAGTCACGTGTGAATGCTCTTAAACCATTTCTGAGCTCTCTTTAAACCATCCCAAATGTGCTTAAGCCACTTCCAACTGCTCCCAAGCCAGTTTGTTGTTGTTTTAAAGCCAATTCAGAGCATTCTTAAGCTACTCCTGAGTTTAAGCCACTTCCGAGAGCTCTTGAGCCAGCTCTGAGCACCGTTAAGACACCTGCAAGCGCTCTTAAGCCACTTCCAAGCACTCTTGAACTACTTCAAAGCAGTCTTAAGCCACTTCTAAAATTAATCCAGTTCCGAATGCTCTTAAGCCAGTTCCGAATGTGCTTGAGCCACTTCCAGTTGCTCTTAAGCTAGTTCTGAGTTTGAAGCCAGTCCCAAGCTTTAATCACTCGCACTCTTGGCCCCACATGTCCGCAGCACCAGCACTCACATTCAGCTTGGCTCTGAAAACATGGCAAACTCCCTTCCACACACAAGACACCACCATACTCCCAGCCTTGGCTCCAGAACACCCAACTCTCATTCCATGCTTTTTCTAGACCACTACGTTGTGATCCAGCTGTATCACGATGGGAAGGTCCTCGACGCCAAGGAGACCAAGTCCGTCGCTGGGTGCAATCCCGTATGGAACACCCCGTTCCTTTTCAGCATCCCAGCCGGAGACATCCAGGAGCAGCAGCTGGCCTTGGAGTTCACCGTCATGCAGGTAAGAAGCTGGACACAAAGGCCAGCGTCTGCAGGCTGGAGGTGAGAAGCTCTGGAGGGCCCAGGGAATGCCTTTACCTACCTCTGCCTTGGCTGACTTGCCTTTGGGATGAAATCAGAAGGGAACGGAGAGTTCACATTTTGGGGACTACAACAAGAGTGCACCTAACTGCCATGTCTCTATACCAGCGCTTCTCAAACTATGCTCTGCGGAGCCATTAGGGGGTAGGACTGGATGAGTGGCCATCTGTTGGGGTGCTTTGATTGTGCTTTTCCTGCAGGGTAGAAGGGGGTAGGACTGGATGGCCTCTGAGGTTGCACTTGTTGTTATTGTTGTTGTTGTTGTTGTTGTTGTTGTTGTTGTTACAACATTTCTCAAACGATGCTCTGTGGAGCCATTAGGGCTCCATGAAGCATTGTCAGGGGCTTCCCACTGCATATCCCCCTCCTGCTCCCCCCTACATATGAAGCTTGCGGTCTGGGGGACCCCTGCTGCTCCTATGGCCTGCAATGCCTCGCTTGCATGGCAGAAGGGGATTGACTGGATGGCCCCTGGGGTTGCTCTGGTTTTTGTTGTCGTTGTTGTTACAAAAGCTGGGTGGCCATCTGTTGGGGTGCTTTGATTGTGCTTTTCTTGCAGAGCAAAAGGGGGTAGGAGTGGATGGCTCCTGGGGCCTTCCACTGAAATAGGACTGGATGGCCCCTGGGGTTGTTGTTGTTACAAAGGCTGAGTGGCCATCTGTTGGGTTGCTTTGATTGTGCTTTTCCTGCGGGCAGAAGGGGGTAGGACTGGATGGCCCCTGGGGTTGCTCTGTTGTTCTTGTTACGAAGGCTGGGTGGCCATCTGTTAGCGTGCTTTGATTGTGCTTTGCAGGTTCAAAAGGGGGTAGGAGTGGATGGCCCCTGGGGTTGTGCTTGTTGTTGTTGTTGTTGTTGCTGCTGTTGTTGTTACAAAGGCTGAGTGGCCATCTGTTGGGGTGCTTTGATTGTGCTTTTCCTGCCGGGCAGAAGGGGGTAGGACTGGATGGCCCCTGGGGTTGATGTTGTTACAAAGGCTGAGTGGCCATCTGTTTGGTTGCTTTGATTGTGCTTTTCCTTGAGGGTAGAAGGGGGTAAGACTGGATGGCCCCTGGAGTTGCTCTTGTTGTTGTTCTTGTTACAAAGGCTGGGTGGCCATCTGTTAACGTGCTTTGATTGTGCTTTACCAGAAGGGCAGAAGGGGGTAGGAGGGGATGGCCCCAGGGGTGGTTGTTGTTGTTGCAAAGGCTAAGTGGCCATCTGTTGGGGTGCTTTGATTGTGTTTTTCCCGCAGGGCAAAAGGGGGTAGGAATGGATGGCCCCTGGGATTGCGCTTGTTGTTGTTGTTGTTGTTGTTGTTACCTGTTTTGTTGTCTGTTGCTCTCTGAGGACAGTCTCATGTGCTTTCCTTCTTCTTCGTCTTCTTCCAGGCTCGCCTCTACACCCGCAGTTGCCTTGTGGGTCGAGTGCTGATCGGCCCCAATGCTCCGGAGATGGGGCAGGTCCATTGGAAGGAAATGTGCAGCAGGGGAAATGTGGAGTCGGCCCGTTGGCACTCCATCCAACCACCGGCCTTCCAACTCAGCCCTTGATGATCGGAGGCCAAGGTTCCTACTGGGGCGATGTTGCTTGCTGCGGCAAAGAGTGGTCGGGGGGACTCCCTGCCGCTGTGCCTCTTGCGCAAGGACCCTGGAGCCAAACGACTCTTCCACCATTGGCAGCCTCGAGCATCATGAGAGAAGGTGGGCATGGATGGCGGTGCCTCCAGGATCCATGGAGTTATAAGGACAAATTGCTTTGAGAATGGACCAGGCAGGAGATCTGAAACATCCAGGTGCTCTTAGGCCAGTTCTGAATGCTCTCAAGCTCCTAAATCACTTCTGCGACCTCTTTAAGCCACCCATAAGTCACATCCGAGTGCCCTTAAGCCACTTCCAACTGCTCTTAAGCCAATTCCGAGCATTCTTAAGCCATTCCCGAGCTTAAGCCACTTTGGAGAGCTTTTAAGCCAGCTCTGAGCACCCTTAAGCCAGCTCCAAGTGCTCTTAAACCAGTTTCAAGTGAGCTTCAGCCACTTCCGACTGCTCTTAAGCTTGTTTGTAATTTAAGCCAATTCTGAGCATTCTTAAGCCACTTCTGAGTTCAAGCCACTTTTGAAAGTTTTTAAGCCAGCTTCGAGCACCCTTAAGTCAGCTCCAAGTGCTCTTACACCAGTTCCAAATGAGGGTTGTCGTGTGTTTTCTGAGCTGCCTTGCCATGTTCCAGAAGCATTCTCTCCTGACATTTCGCCTGCATCTGTGGCAGGCATCCTCAGAGGTTGTGAGTTCTGTTGGAAGCTAGGAAAATGGGGTTTATATATCTCAAAACAGGGGAATTCCAAACAAGAAACAATCAGTCAGCTAATCACCTCCCAATAAAAGATTCCCCCAGGCAGGAAGCAGCCAGACCTTGAAACTACCAGGCTATTAAATGCTAATCAAGGTAGCCAATTGCTACATTCACACCTACCTCAAACAAACAAGAGTTCTTTCTCCCACCATGGACATTGCTCAGATATATACACCCAAATTTTCTAGTTTCCAACAGACCTCGCAACCTCTGAGGATGCTTGCCATAGATGCAGGCGAAACAACAGGAGAGAATGCTTCTGGAACATGACCATACAGCCTGGAATACACACAACAACATAATGATTCCGACCTTGAAAGCCTTCAACAATACAAGTTCCAAATGGGTTTAAGTCACTTCCAATTGCTCTTAAACTGGTTCCAAGTTTGTGCCACTACGAACGCCCTTAAGTTGTTTTGGCATGTCCTTAGGCCAGCTCCTAGTGCCCTTAAGTGACTTGTGAATGCCCTTAAGCCATTTCTGAGCTCTCTTAAACCATCCCAGATATGCTTAAGCCACTTCTAACTGCTCTTAAGCCGGTTCATAGTTTTTAAGCCAATTCTGAGCATTCTTTAGATACCCTTGAGCTTAAGCTACTTCCGGGAGCTCTTAAACTAGCTCTGAGCACTGCTTCCAAACACCCTCAAGCCACTTCTAAGATTAAGCCAGTTCAGAATGCTCTTAAGCTAGCTCCGAATGTGCTTGAGGTCCTTCCAATTGCTCTTAAGCTAGTTCTGAGCACTCTTGAACTACTTCCAAAGATGCTTAAGCTACTTCTAAGATTAAGCCAGTTCCGAGTGCTCTTAAGCTAGTTCTGAGTGTGCTAGAGGCACTTCCAATTGCTCTTAAGCTAGTTCTGAGCACTCTTGAACTACTTCCAAGGATGCTTAAGCTACTTCTAAGATTAAGCCAGTACCGAGTGCTTTTAAGCTAGTTCTGAGTGTGCTAGAGGCACTTCCAATTGCTCTTAAGCTAGTTATGAGTACTCTTGAACTACTTCCAAGGACGCTAAAGCTACTTCTAAGATTAAGCCAGTTCTGAGTGCTCTTAAGCTAGCTCCAAATGTGCTTGAGGCACTTCCAATTGCTCTTAAGATGGTTCTGAGCGCTCTTGAACTACTTCTAAGAACGCTTAAACCACTTCTAAGATTAAGCCAGTTCCGAGTGCTCTTAAGCTAGCTCCAAATGTGCTTGAGGTCCTTCCAATTGCTCTTAAACTAGTTCTGAGCACTTGAACTACTTCCAAGGACGCTTAAGCCACTTCTAAGATTAAGCCAGTTCTGAGTGCTCTTAAGCCAGTTCCAAGTGTGCTTGAGGCCATTCCAATTGCTTTTAAACTAGATCTGAGTTTAAGCCAGCCCCGAGCTTTAATCACTCACACTCTTAACCCCAAGCACTTTTAAGCCACTTCGGAGTGCTCTGAAGCCAATTCCAAATATTTTCACATGAGCAACATATTTATTTGGCGTTATAACAGCAATCTGGGAATTCATGCCCATGGAAAGGGCAAGCCTACCATGGTTTATGCTTCTGCACTACATTTCCTCCCTGGCGAATCCAACGCGCTCCCCTCAAATGCTCCCACATGGCTTTCCAGATCCACTGCAGCAATTTTGGGAGGATGACATCACCTGCCCAATGCTGGCAGTCTTTAGGAGGGCTGTCAACGAAGAGAATGGAAAACTGCATCAGCAAAACGTGGACTGCAGTCGGAGGCAGACTCAAGGGACCGGAGCTGCGAGAAAAAGGATGCTGGAGATTGCGCTGCTACAACAGGGAGGAAATTTTGCACGACTGGCTTGCCATAGAATGAGCTGCATTGGAAGGGAGAAGAGATCCAATGCACAGAGGCTCCTGAAGGAGAACAGAAGGGGCCCTGGCCCGCGTAATGCCCACAACCTTGCTGAAAGGCTGTTTGAACTGCAATTGTATTGCTGGGACTTAAGCAGACAACTAGTTATGTGTAATTAGTTCTTTTTTCCAGTTGGTAAAGGTATAATATTATCACCACTGTAACCTAATAACTGCCTTTGTTGTAACTATTGCCATTGTAAGTTAAATAATAAACAATGTTATGACTATTCTTATAGTGGCCGGATATGGAGGAGGAATATCACTTGGTTCCAGTGCTGGCGTATAATCAGGGTGAAAGAAGTTCAACACCGTCTGTTGAGAAATGACAGGATTTTTCAGAAGTGTAACTGTAATGGCAAGTGACAACAACAACAACAACAACACTTTATTTATATTCCACCCTTCTCACCCCGAAGGGGACTCAGGGCAGATCACAAGTACACATACATGGCAAGCATTCAATGCCATTTGTATAGACAGTACATACAAAGTACATAGTACATAGTACATAGGTCCTCCTGGTCTATTGTAAACCGGATTGGGGTATAGGGTGGCAACCTGTGTTGGACTTGGTTGCACTCACCCTGAAGTCATAGGTCCGCAGTTTGGGTGTCCTCCTGGACTCATCACTTATGCTTGAAGCTCAGGCATCGGCGGTGGCTGGGAGGGCCTTCGCACAATTAAGACTTGTGTGCCAGCTGCGGCTGTACCTCGTGAAGTCGGATCTGGCCAGGGTGGCCATGCCTTAGTCACCTCCAGATTGGATTACTGTAATGCACCTACATGGGGCTGCCCTTGAAAACGGCCCAGAAATTTCAATTGGTACAACAGGCGGCAGCCAGGTTACTAACTGGGGCGACTTACAGGGAGCGGTCAACCTCCCTATTTAAGGAGCTCCATTGACTGCCATTCATTTTCCGGTCCCAATTCAAGGTGCATGTTCTTACCTACAAAGCCCTGAACGGTTTGGGACCCGCCTACCTGCGTGACCGCATTTCTGTGTACGAACCCACATGATCTCTTCGATCATCTGGAGAGGCCCTGCTCGCGCTCCCACCTCCTTTGCAGGCGCGATTGGTGGGGACGAGGGAGAGGGCCTTCTCAGTGGTGGCCCCTCGACTCTGGAATTCACTTCCCAAGGACATCAGACATGCCCCAATGCTGGCAGTCTTTAGGAGGAGCCTGAAAACATGGTTGTTCCAGTGTGCCTTCCCAGAATAAGGAAAACTCTTAGCAATATGTCCTCAAATGCACTTTAACATTGATTTAGGATTGCCTGCATGCCCTCATCTTTCTTTGAAAACTCTATCCAAGTTATACCCTACCTTGTTCATGCCCAGCATTATTTTTTAAATTTTAAGTTATTACATTTGGCCCAGCCATAGGTTTTTAATGCTGTATATTATTGTTATTGTTGGGTTGTTGTAGGTTTTTCCGGGCTATATGGCCATGTTCTGGAGGCATTTTTTCCTGACGTTTTGCCTGCATCTATGGCAAACATATTCAAGGAGTACACCTCACTACCTCTGAGGATGCTTGCCATAGATGCAGGCGAAACGTCAGGAGAGAATGCCTCTAGAACATGGCCATATAGCCCGAAAAAAACCTACAACAACCCAGTGATTCCAGCCATGAAAGCCTTCGACAATACATTGTTAGTTTCGTTATGTATGTTTATTGTTTTAATTTTATTTTAATTGTTTGTTGTATTATTGCTTTTGTTTATGATGTTTGGGCTCGGCCTCATGTAAGCCGCACCAAGTCCTTTGGAGTAATACATAGGTAGGTAGTCCCCTGACATTAAGTCCAGTCATGTCTGACTCTGGGGTGTGGGGCTCATCTCCATTTCTAAGCCGAAGAGCCAGCGTTGTCCGTAGACACCTCCAAGGTCATGTGGCCGGCATGACTGCATGGAGCGCCGTTACCTTCCCGCCGGAGCGGTACCTATTGATCTACTCACATTTGCATGTTTTCGAACTGCTAGGTTGGCAGAAGCTAGGGCTGACAGCGGAAGCTCACGCCGCTGACCGGAATGGAACCTGCGACCTTTCGATCAACAAGCTCAGCAACTCAATGCTTTAACCCACTGCACGACCGGGGGCTCCAGTGGGGAGATGGTAGCGGGGTATAAATAAAGTATTATTATTATTATTATTACACAGACATAACAGAAGGAAGTTTTTGTGTGGTGCCACAGGGGGTGCCGTCACTCCATCCTCTATGACGAAGAGCCATCAGGACTTCCTCATTCCAGCATTTTTTGATCTTTTTCTTTATGTCATTGTAAAACATCTCCCCTGCTTTTTCAGCTGTACCTATTTTTTCTAAATTCCAGCTAAAGCTGTTTTTGAACTGCTTAGGTAAACAGTGGGCAGGGCTGATGGTTGGCTGCCCATGCCAACCCGGGGTTCGAACTTGCAAAGTTTTGGTTGATAGATCTTACAGTTGCTGATGATTTACCAGCTGTGCTAAACCTCCGGACCAACAACGGGCATTCATGAAAGGTTTCCCCTGACCCACTTCTTTCAGGCTGAGAGCAATGCACCTTGGCCCAGTCCTGAGTCCTCCTTCTCTCCATGGGTGCCACCTATCAAGGACACACACTTTGCCCATCTTTTGAAGCAACTGTCAACACCTGGCTTGGAGAAGTCGACAGGTTGCTCCAAACGCCACGTTGTGCCTTCAGAAATCGGAGTCCCATCCCCTAAGAAAGGCTTTCCCTTCACAAATAACTTCCTTGTTGGAAAGAGGTGGATGTAGCCAAATGTAACTCTAGAAAAGATACATATTAAAACATAATTCCAATAAAATACATCTTAACACTCACAAAACAGAGATTAAACAAAGGACATCCATGCTTGCAATTTGGCTGGGTAGACCTCCCAGAAGAGATGGGTTTTTCTATCAAGGGGTGTGCATATTTGGCCCTCACAACAACCCTGTCCATGTAGAACAGTGGTTCTCAGCCTTCGTAATGCCGTGACCCCTTAATACAGTTCCTGATGTTGTGGTGACCCCCAACTATAACATTATTTACGTTCCTACTTCATAACTGTCATTTTGCTACTGTAATGTAAATATCTGATATGTGCCCAAATTTGAACACTGGTGGGTTTGGGGGGATTGATTTTGCCATTTCGGAGTTGCTGGGATTTGTACTACAATCAAAAAGCATTCTGAACCCCACCAATGATGGAATCAAACCAAACTTGGCACACAGAACTCCCATGACCAACAGAAAATACTGGAAGGGTCTGATGAACACTGACCTTGAGTTTGGGAGTTGTAGTTCACCAACATCCAGAGAGCAATGTAGATTCAAACAATGATTGATCCGGAGCAAACTTGGCATGAATACTCAATATGCACCAATGTGAACACTGGTGGAGTTTGGGGGAAAATAGACCTTGACATTTGGGAGCTGTAGTTGCTGGAATTTATAGTTCACCTACAATCAAAGAGCATTCTGAATTCCACCAATGATGAAATGAACCAAACTTGGCACACAGAACTCCCATGACCAACAGTAAATACTGGAAGGGTCTGATGAACATTGACCTTGAGTTTGGGAGTTGTAGTTCACCTACATCCAGAGAGCACTGTGGACTCAACAATGATGGAGCTGCTCCAAAGCTCCAAAAATGTAATGTTCGTTTGTGGGATTAACAGAACTCAAAAACCTCCGGACGAATTGACACCAAATTTGGACACAAGGCACCTAACAACCCAGTGTATGTCCTTCACTCAAAACAATTGATTTTATCATTTGGGAGTTGTAGTTGCTGGGATTAATAGTTCACCTACAATCAAAGAGCATTCTGAACTCCACCAATGATGGAATTGGGTCAAACTTGGCACACAGAACTCCCATGACCAACAGAAAATACTGGAAGGGTCTGATGAACATTGACCTTGAGTTTGGGAGTTGTAGTTCACCTACATCCAGAGAGCAATGTAGATTCAAACAATGATTGATCCGGACCAAACTTGTCACGAATACTCAATATGCACCAATGTGAACACTGGTGAAGTTTGGGGGGAAATAGACCTTGACATTTGGGAGCTGTAGTTGCTGGGATTTATAGTTCACCTACAATCAAAGAGCATTCTGAACTCCACCAATGATGGAATTGGGTCAAACTTGGCACACAGAACTCCCATGACCAACAGAAAATACTGGAAGGGTCCGATGAACATTGACCTTGAGTTTGGGAGTTGTAGTTCACCTACATCCAGAGAGCACTGTGGACTCAACAATGATGTAGCTGCTTCAAAGCTCCAAAAATGTAATGTTCGTTTGTGGGATTAACAGAACTCAAAAACCTCCGGACGAATTGACACCAAATTTGGACACAAGACACCTAACAACCCAGTGTATGTCCTTCACTCAAAACAAACGTCCAAATGTGAACACTGGTGGAGTTTGGGGAAAATAGAATCTTGACATTTGGGTGTTGTAGTTGCTGGGATTTATAGTTCACCTACAATCAAAGAGCATTCTGAACCCCACCAACAATAGAATTGGGCCAAACTTCTCACGCAGAACCCCTATGACCAACAGAAAATACTGTGTTTTCTGTTGGCCTTTGGTGACCCCTCTGACACCCCCTTGCGACCCCCTCCCCAGGTTGAGAAACACTCATCTAGGACATGCTTGTCCTCCCTACCTTCAGTTGTCTGAATGTTCAGGGCTTGCTCTGGATTTAAAGGGGGACCATGGTCTGGAGAGCCCAAAAGGCCTTGGGGATAACAGGGCTGGGCTCTGGGGCCTGAGAAATGCCCCTTCGCTCTCCGCAGGGTTCGGGGCCTCATGGAGAACAGCGAGTTCCTCATCTGAGGGAAGCCTTATGGAAGGCGTGGAGGGATCCGGAACATCTGGATGCAGCTGGAGATGTGCCACAACAACGGGGGAATCATGGACTGTAGGACCCACAAGGGAGGAATGCCGAGCATCCGTGCCATCAGCGGAGAGGTGGCCTTCCTTGTCCTCATCCCTGGAGAGTGAAGGATGCTGCAAAGCCACCGTTAGCTTTTCCTGGCCATGCATGGTGATGGTGGGTTCGTCGCTTTGGGGTGAAGGCAAGGAGCTCCCGCTCTCCTGAGTGCTTTCGAAATCCAGGTGCAGCTTGTCCGCTGATCTAGGAATCGGCAAGTTTGGGGTGCCTTTTTCCGGCTGTTGCCTCGACAGCCTGCGGATTTCTTGGATCTGCTGCTGAAACCTCAGTTTACCTGTTTGTTGAGAAAGCAGAAGCAACAGGTCTGTCGCTTCGAACATCCACCTGTTTACTACATTCCTGAAATGGGTTGCTGTGAGTTTTCCAGGRTGTCTGGCCATGTTAAGAGCCTCCAAGGGAGAGGAGGCTCCACCAGATCRCCAGGTAATAATAATAATAATAATAATAATAATAATAATAATAATAATAATAACTTTATTTATACCCCGCTACCATCTCCCCAAGGGACTCYGTGCAGCTTACATGAGGCTGAGCCCATAGAACAAAAATAATAAAAGCAATGTATTGTCGAAGGCTTTCATGGCTGGAATCACTAGGTTCTTGTGGGTTTTTTCGGGCCATGTTCTAGAGGCATTTCTCCTGACGTTTTGCCTGCATCTATGACAAGCATCCTCAGAGGTTGTGAGGTCTTGCCATAGATGCAGGAGAAACGTCAGGAGAAGATGCCTCTAGAACATGGCCATATAGCCCGGAAAAACCTACAACAACCCAGTGATTCCGGCCATGAAAGCCTTCTTATGTCCCCATTCAGCCTTCTTTTCTGCTTCCCTGGAGACTAGGACGCAATGGAGCCATGGCTTCAAACTACAAGAAAGGAGATTCCATCTGAACATGAGGAAGAGCTTCCTGACTGTGAGAGCCGTTCAGCAGTGGAACTCTCTGCCCCGGAGTGTGGTGGAGGCTTTCTTTGGAGACTTTCAAACAGAGGCTGCCAGGGGTGCTTTGAATGCAATTTTCCTGCTTTTTGGCAGAATGGGGCTGGATTGGATAATAGCCCACGAGGTCTCTTCCAACTCTAGGATTCTTTTCTGCAAGATGAAGATTCTCATCTCCCGAAGACCCTTGCCTTCCAAACCTTTGACCCTTTGGCCATCCCTTTTGGCACACCTTCTGCCTTGAGTTGTGATGCCCAGAAGTGGACACAGTTTGATTCCAGGTGTGGCCTGACCAAGGCACCATGAAACCCTGAATTATTACAGTTCCAAGTATGTTTTGAAGTCCCTTGTAGCCTTAGGGTCACCCATGGACTCCATAGGGTTCTCTTAGGCAACGAATACTCAGAGGTGGCTCTGCCACTTCCTTCCACTCAAATGTCACCAACAGGACCAGGCATGAATTGGGAAGGAAACAATGATAGCCGTGGTTTCCGTGTCTTCCCCTTTCTTACCTTTCACAAGGTTCTCATTCTTCTGCTTCAAAGCCTCAATTTCAGAAGCCATGGAGGAAATCTGGAATGGAGGAACAGTAGATGGAATACTCAGGGGATAAACGTCATATTGCTGGAGCTATGTGAAATCAAACATGACCCCCCCCCCATAAAAGATAGTAACTTATAGTTTTGCTAAGGACAAGGACACCAGACTGGATAATAAGGGTTAAGCTTTGGTCAATTTGTCAAGACACTAACAACAACAAGGACCCTTCCCATGTTAGAGAGTGTGTACATTTAATCAAGGTTTTTATGCCCTATGTTTCATCTATATAGCAGAAGGTAGCACATTTATTACTGAGAAACCCCCTCCCTTTACACTTATGTACTCTCTTGAACTTCTATGGGCCTTTTTTCCCTTCTGAAGGGCTCTTTGAAACTTTTTGGAAACTTTACCTTTTCAAGTCCCCTATGAATGAGCTCTGCCTGACCCTTCTGTCCTATTCCCTTTTATTGAAATGTATGTAAGAAGTCCCCTGGGTGACCCTGGGAAGGAGGAGATCACCTGATTGAAAAGAACCTTATCAAATACTTATTTGCATGAACCATACAATGGGCAGAAACCCTGGGGCTCGGAGTCGGTCCCCCCAGCGGATGGTGCCCGCTTGGCATTGATGATCATATCTCAACAGGACAAAAGGGCCTTCGGAAAGCCACACTTTGTCCTGATCTGTTTGCTCATTCAAACCTTCCTCCACCGAAACTTCAGCCAAGATTGCCTCATTGTTTCCATATCTCAGCACCAGGAAAATCCGGATTTTGGCAGGCTTGCCAGTCTTCAATATTTATTGCCACCAATCAAAGACAATAGGCTGGCTGGCTAGAAGCCCCCCTGAGGACTCGTCGGCCATTTGGGCACTACATATCTCCATAATCCATTCAAGAATTCATTGTTTCCCTCTCATCCCACATCCCTCCCTTCTGATTGGTCGGGAAACTGAGGCGGCAGAAGCTCAGCAATTGGCCAAGGCGCTCAGGAGGCGGCCAAGTCTCCTCCCAGCTGTAGAGCGCCAGCCAATCATTGCCGAGCCGGCAGAGGGGCGGGAAATTCAAATCTGACAGCTCTGTTTCTGTATAAAAAGGCTTTTATTTGTGTACATGTTATGCTTTGCACCATTACCTTCCCACAGAAGCAGTACCTATTGATCTACTCACATTTGCATATTTTCAAACTGCTAGGTTCCAATGTAATATAATACATTGTATATACATGTAATATTTATAATATTATAATGTAATGCAATATAATAATAACAATAATATGATATTATAATTATATATTTATATTACATGTAATATTACTAATAATATTACAATATAGTGGTATGGTGCAATATAGCAATGTTTAATGCTGATATTGTACTATGCTAATAATATAATATATTGTATGTAATATATACCTGTAAGCCGCTGAGTCCCCTTTGGCGGTGAGAAGGGCGGCATTGAAATGTCATAAATAAATAAGTAAATAGGTTGGCAGAAGCTGGGACTAACGACAGGAGCTCACTCTGTTCCCTGGATTCGAACCGTCAACATTTCGGTCAGCAAGTTCAGCAGCACAGCGGTTTAACCCACTGCGCCACCAGAGGGTCTACTGGAAGAGTATTCAGTACTGGAAGGTCATCCCCAGCTTGGGAAGAAAGAAGGCACAATTCCCGGATGTCCAGCCACTTCCATCTTGGCTCACACACACTGGGTTGGATCTGGATTCAAGCTCCCCCGTTCAAATAAATGAGACCCAACATGGGTACCACTACAATTCAACAGAGAGGAGCCGTCTTCCGGCACAGCACACAGGTAGATGCCCCGGCCGCTGCAAGAGGCTTCCTTACCCTTTCCGCATTTTGTTTCAGCTGCTGCCTCAGACTCTCTGCTTCTTCTCTGCTGCAGCCAATGTCCTGCGATTCAGGTTCCCCTTCTGCAGAAAACTGGAGGGATTCGGTTCCAACCTATAGAAGAAACTTCAGATAATATTCTGGAAATTCTAGAACTTTATTCAGCTTAGACTCAGCATAGTGCCCTCCAAATATTTTTGACTTCAGAGACCTATTTAGTACAGCCGGGCAGGGCTTGAGCACAGCTGGTAAATCACCAGCAATGATAAGATCTACCAACCCAAAGGTTGCCAGTTTGAAGCCCTGGGTCAGCATGAGCACCCAACTTTCAGCCCAGCTCACTGCTGACCTAAGCAGTTCGAAAATGGCTTGGCTGTAAGTAGAGAAATTAGGTACCGCTAAAACAAATGAGGGAGGTATTTTATGACACCATAAAAGGAAAAGACCAGAAAATGCCTTCGACCAAAAGGAAGTAAGTCCTGATGGCTCTTCGTCATAGAGAATGGAGCAACAGCACCCCCCCTGTGGCTGGATTCAAGCACAACCTCCAAGGCACCAAAAAACTGGAGCCCCCGGTGGCGCAGTGGGTTAAACCCCTGTGCTGGCAGAACTGAAGACCAACAGGTCGCAGGTTCGAATCCGGGGAGAGGCGGATGAGCTCCCTCTATCAGCTCCAGCTCCTCATGTGCAGAGTCTTTGCAGTTCTTTAAATCCTCATATCGTGTCATCTTTTCCAGTTGTTTCTCTTCAATCCTGCTGTCACCTGGGATTGCAACATCGACGATCCATACTTTGTTTTTTAACACGATTGTGAGGTCAGGAGTATTATACTCCAAAACTCTGTCTGAATTTGGAAGTCCCAGAGGGACTGTAACTTTTTCCGGCTTGTGATCCCACCAGTTCTTTGTCATAGGTAGATGGTGTTTGTGGCAAGAGTTCCAATGAATCATCTGAGCAACGGTGTTGTGCCTCTGCTTGGAGTCTGTCTGCCCGATCTTGCAGCAGCTGAGGATGGGATCTATTGTTTCATCTGCTTCCTTGCAGAGTCTACATTTGGGATCTGTTGTCAACTTTTCAATTCTGGCTTTGATGGCACTGGTTCGAATGGCTTGTTCTTGGGTTGCCAGAATCAGGCCCTCCTTTGTCTCCTTTTTCAGAATTCCATTTGGGAGCCACAGCCATGTTTTTTCTTTGTCCATTTGGCTCTCAATTATTCCCAGGAACTGTCCGTGGAGAGAGAGCCTTCTTTGGCCTGTTTTCTCTTCTGCTCTTATTATTATTTTTATAGTAATTATTATTTATAATTATTTATAATAATAATAACAATAATAATTTTTATTATTATTTGGAAGCACAGCCTTCTTTCAACTGGATGACTTTTTGGAATCCCACTGAAGGCGCTTGATACCCAAACTCTCTCCAGAAGCTCAGAATCATAGTTGGAAAAAAACCTCAAGAGTTGAAAAAAGTAACTCAAAGAGCCCCCCGAAAGCAACTTTTCCAAACTTGCTTGAGCTTCACAGGTCCTCATGCCCAAGCACAGTACTGATAGAATGGGATTAGACTTCAAAGATAATTACAGAAGGAATGGAGAAGAAGGGAGTTCCTACCAGAGTTCCTTGAGATGCAGGAGACACGGCGGAACTTCCTTCCTGGAGTCTTCCCGACTTCTGGCTGCTTTGCTTCTGCTGCGCCCGCTGTCTGAAAATCCCCTTCAACTGTTAGGAGAAGACAAAGCACATGTCATGCTACTCTTTTGACTTGAGATACTTTTGGCCAACTGGCAATGGCCGAATGTGTTGGCTGAAATAATGATCACAGGTGACAAGGAAGACCACAAAAGTGGGTCCAGCTGGGGCGGGAGCAGGAATTTCAAAGAACTGTACTGTATAAAAATGCCTGCTTTTCACTATCATGGCATCTCAGCTTACTTTGGCGCATAACTGCGGACTGGCATCACTTCCGCCAACTTAATAAACTACCTCGGTGGCTTCTTCTTCAACTTGGTGAGATTTATTTGGGAACATTGGGCTTCTTCGTCTCGCCAGGTGCATGGACCTACATGGCGGTCTGTCACCGGTATCCGTCTTGGTATCCGCACCTTGGGTTTCGCTATCCGCGTCTCAGATATCACTATTGTGTATGATTTTGCTTTATCGTGTTTTTTGTATTGTTATGTTGTATGTATTTTACTGTGTTGTTATTGTGTTTTGGTTTTATTTTATTGTCATATGCTGTTGGGCTTGGCCTCATGTAAGCCGTCTCGAGTCTCCATTGGGGAGATGTTGGCGGGGTATTAAATGAAGATTATTATTATTATTATTATTATTATTATTATTTGTGATGAAGTGTAATTTTTTGTCTACAGTTATGTATTGTTAAAGATAAGTGTTTGTAAGGGTAAGTATATAGTATTGCATAATATTGGGGGATGGTAGCCAGCTTAGCTCACTTTGAGCTGAGTTGCTATGGAGATAGGGGCGGAGCCAACTGCCACCTGGCAGAGCAGCCATTTTAAAGCAGTCAATCTGTGGTCGGTGAACTGCAGAAGTGGCTGGTTCTGTTGTGTGTGGAGAACCAGTGAGAATTCTGTAGTCAAAGAACTACAGGGGAAGGCTGATTCTTTAGTATTAAGAATCAGGAGGTTTTGGCTGTGTGAGAGAAAGATGCATGCACACACACCGTTCTATAGACCTTCTAATTCCCGTTCTATTCCAGACCTGATGTGGAGGAGCAGCCTGGCTTTGGCTGCTGGGCTGCAACTGCTGGATTTGGTGGTGCAGAGCTTGGCTGCGGCTCCGTTCTAGTTCCAGTTCCTGTTTGCAAGCATAGTTTAGATAAGTTGAGTGACTTATTTGTATTAAAAGTAACGGTTGTGGGGAAAGAGGGGAATCCCTAATAAGCATCTTTATTGTAACAGAAAGAAAGGATAAGCGTGTGCCTGAAACAATCAGTTAAAGAAAGAAACATCTTTCTAAAGGAACCAAGTTTGAGACCTGTTTGTTAGAAGAATTAGAACTGTTATGAATGTAACCATTAAAGATCTGTACCCCTAAGAGAAAGGAAACTTTGAAACCATCAAGCTTCTGTACCTCAATAAACTTGTTACAGTTTCTTTTTAAAGTCAAGCCTATGTTACCATTCCTTTCCAAGTCAAGTCATGCTACATACTGAAGAAAGACCAAAGCAACATTACAAGTTATTGGTCATCAATATAATAAGCCCTCACAAAGAGGTGGCTCCTTTTACCAACTCTCTACATATTGGTAGCAGTTATATTTATACATCCTTACAATTCTGTGGCATCATTACAAATTAGTGGCCAAGCCTTTACGATTAGTAGCAGTAATATACGGGCTCCTTCACATTATTATTATTATTATTATTATTATTATTATTATTATTATTATCATTATTATTATCCGTGGACATTTTAAATTGCTCTATTTCACAGCTCCCATTGGGCAATACATAAATGGGGTCCATGAATGGGCTGTTAGGAGTTGTGGTATTTGAAGTCTAAAACACATGGGGGGCCGAAGTTTTCCCATGCCTGGTCAGAGCCAGCTTAGTGTCGTGGCTTGAGTGTTGGACTATATCTCTGGGCTTGAATCCGCACTCTGCTATGGAAACTCATTGGGTGACTTGGGGCAAATCACTCTCTCCCAGCCACAAAGGAGGGTAAGGAGAAACCTGCACGGAACAAATCTTGGCAGCAAGGGGCGGAAGTGGAACTGGACCCTCCAACGAGGAATCACAGCCTAAGCGTGGTTGTTTGCAGAGCCTTTACACACCTCAATGCACTCCCATCTCACACCAACTCTGACCCCACAACGCTTCCTTTGGCGGCACCCACGCCCTTTCAGTCCAAAGGAGATGAAGGGAGAGGTGGGTGGACGGGATAGTCATGCTGTGCCCTCTTTACCTGTTGGGTCACCAGCTGGTGCTGCAGCTTGAGGCTCTCCTGCTCTTGCTGGGGACTCCGGATGGCTTTGGCACCTGGTTCCGGATGGCGGCCCTGAAGGAGGAAAGACTTCGAGGTGGGCGAAGAAGCCAGACAGGAATAACAACACCATCTCTGCCTGACTTCCTGCCTCTTTCACGCCTCCTTGCCTCCATTAGTAAGAGACGAGTGCATGCCCCAGGGCTTCCGGGGAACTAGCCGTGTATTGCAGGCCAGAGTGAGCACTCAAGGCCCCGGCAATGCCCTTGGACCCACCCCATGATAACGCTCTGCCTCGGCTTCCCACTCGCATTGTCTCTCATTGTTGACAAGAGGCACGAGCCTATGTAGGCGGCTTCACACAGAAGGGAACGACCTTCCATTCTTGGAGAGGGCAACCGAGTTTGGGAAATGCTCTTCCTTTGAGCTGTGACTCCCAGCAATGCGAATAGGACAGAGAATTCCAGTTGGAAACAATCGTATTTCAAGGCTCTTTTCTGGAGTTTGAGGATCCATGGTAGGTGTATACATATGTGTGAGAGAAAGATGCATGCACACACACCGCTCTATAGACCTTCTAATTCCCATTCTATTCCAGACCTGATGTGGAGGAGCAGCCTGGCTTTGGCTGCTGGGCTGCAACTGCTGGATTTGGTGGTGCAGAGCTTGGCTGCGGCTCCGTTCTAGTTCCAGTTCCTGCTTGCAAGCATCCAACTGGATCTGGAGAAGCAAGGGAGCGTCTGCCTGCCAGGAAGGAAAAGAAACAGAGAGCAGGATCTTCATTAGATGAGCTCCTTCCACATATATTTACTCATGTAGAAGCCTAGAATCAGAGAATCAGAGAATCCTAGAGTTGGGCCATCCAGTCCAACCCCATTCTGTCCAGAAGCAGGTAAATCACATTCAAAGCACCCCCGACAGAGGCCATCCGGCCTCTGCTTCAAAGCCTCCAAAGAAGGAGCCTCCACCACACTCCACAAGGGGCAGAGAGTTCCACTGCTGAACAGCTCTCACAGACAGGAAGTTCATCCATCCATCCATCTATGGATAGCATAGGGAAGGGTTAACACCCCTATAGAATCCTAGAGTTGGAAGAGACCTGGAGGGCAATCAACCAGTCCAACCCCATTCTGCCCAGAAGCAGGAAAATCACATTCAAAGCACCCCCGACAGATGGCCATACAGCCTCTGCTTCAAAGTCTCCATAGAAAGAGTCTCCACCACACTCCATGGCAGAGAGTTCCACTGCTGAACAGCTCTCACAGATAGGAAGTTCATCCATCCATCCATCTATGGATAGCATAGTGAAGGGATAACACCCCTATAGAATCCTAGAGTTGGAGAAGACCTGGAGGGCCATCATCCAGTCCAACCCCATTCTGCCCAGAAGCAGGAAAATCACATTCAAAGCACCAGATGGCCATACAGCCTCTGCTTCAAAGRCTCCATAGAAAGAGTCTCRACCACACTCCATGGCAGAGAGTTCCACTGCTGAACGGCTCTCCCAGTCAGGAAGTTCTTCCTCATGTTCAGGTGGAATCTCCTTTCCTGTAGTTTTGAGCCATTATTCCATTGCGTCCTAGTCTCCAGGGCAGCGGAAAACAAGCTTACTCCCTCCTCCCTGTGACTTCCCCTCACATACACGGCCCTCATCATATCTCCTCTCGGCCTTCTCTTCTCAGGCTAAACATGCCCAGCTCTTTAAGCTGCTCCTCATAGGGCTTGTTCTCCAGACCCTTGATCATTTTAGTCACCTTCCTCTGGATTCCAGCTTACGGTCAACATCTCCCTTCAATTGTCGTGCCCAGAACCGCACACAGTGTGATTCCAGGTGTGGTCTGACCAAGGAAGAATAGAATAGAGCATGGGGAGCACGACTTCCCTGGATCTAGGCACTAGGCTTTTTTTTTTTTGCCGCAGCATCACATTGTTGGCATCTTAGAGCAAACTTGCCCAACATAACAAAGTTTAAGCACTGATGGAGTTATTCGGGGTTAACCTGGCATGATGGGAGTTGTAGTTCACCCACAACCATATGCAGGGGCAGCTCAACCCATTATGCAAAGTAAGCATTTGCAGTGTAGTTGATTTTGCCCAGGAGCGCTCTTGGGGGAA